GATCGGGAAGGCCCGGGGGCTGCGCCGGAGCAGCGCGTCCTGCCGGCCCAGGCTCTGCCATGCAATAGGCTGCGAGAGGCGGGCAGGACGCTTCCCGTGTGGCGGGCTGGTGAGGGTGAGTGGCTTTTCCCTGCTCACTAACACTATGTTGAAACTCAACCACGCGTGTTCGCCCCTTGTCACATGCTTCTTTCTGCCCTGACGGGTACCGAGGGGAGGCAGGCCCTGCCTTGCGTGGATGTGGAGGAGCCAGCCAGACCCGTCCGCTCCCTAGCTGGCCGCACCGTTTTTCTGCAATGTTATTTAGTTGGTTTCATAACCAACCCCGGTTTTTATAGGAGTTCCCCTTTCATTTACTTGCCAGTACAGGCTCTGACTACCCCAAACAGACGGAGCATCCCCCGCCCCGGCCCTCCTGGGCAGCAGAACGGCTCCACAGAACGGCTCCTCCAAGGAAGAGGACTTCTTTGCTTCACTGTGTTCCTCGTGCACAAGTGAAACTGCCAGGCCGCTCCACGGGTGCTTAGCCTGCTGGCCAGACACCGGGGATGTCTGCGTCCTTTCCTGCAGTCAGGGAGAGGGCCATCGGGGCCAGGCCACCTCTGCCTGGCTCTCTCGTCTCGCGGGGCTCACGTTTTGCCCGAAGAGAGCCAGGCTGGACTCAGCTCATTTTGAAAATCAGCTGCTTGGGAGGCTGAACAAAGGCTTTTGTACTGAATCATCCCGGTGCTGAAATGCTACAGATGCATGCTGGTGAGTGTGGGCAAATACATGCAGCTCTGTAATGCGACTTCTGCGCTGAATTTGGTCACTCGTCAGGGCTAGCAGCGAAGGCTGCGACATTTGAAATATACACGTAGAGTACACGTGTGTACACAGTATAGAATACACACACACATGTGTACATAGTATAGAATACACACACACACACAGAGAGGAGTATATACTTGCACATTATATACTATATATATAGGGTACGTCTACACTAGCTTGGTAGGTGGAGCTAGGTAGGGTAATGAGGGCAAGCAGAGTTGTAAATGAAGCCCAGGATTTAAATATTTAAATATACATTTAAATATCCCAGGCTTCATTTGCAATTCCACTTGCCCTCATTACCCTACCTAGCTCGAACTGCCGAGCTAGTGTAGACGTACCCTATGGCTGTGACTACATTAGCACCGTTTTCCGGAAAAGAGATGCTAATGAGACACTTGGGAATTGCAAATGTAGGAATAAGGGACCCTACATTCTTGAAAGTAGGAATAAGGGATCTTCCGGAAAAGGCTTTTTTTCCCGCAAGATCCCATCTAGACTGGCGCTTTTCTCCGGCAAAATCCCGAGCCGGAAAAAAGCGGCAGCCATGTAAATGCAAATGCCGTGGGGGATATTTAAATCCCCCACGGCATTTGCAATTCCGACTGGTCTCATTAGCATCCCTTTTCCGGAAAAGGGTGCCAATGTAGACACAGCCTATGTGTGTGAAAAACAACCGTGCCCTAGGATAACTCGGGGGTTAGCTGTGGATTTCCAAGGAGGGCGACTTTTTACTTCTGGAAACTAGATACAGTTAGGATGCGACACTCCTGTACTTTTACTCGACTCGTTTTCCAGGGTACTTTGACTTTTACTTCCACTTTTGTCAAAGTAGCAGGACTTCCACTGGGGTAACTGTTGTGGGTCCGTTTCCCACCGCTGGTCTGGGTGAGCTTAACCCAGGCTAACCAGGCCCCCCATCCTGCCCCGCAGAGTCCTTCCCTGAGCCTCACACCCGCTTCCCAGCCCCCACACCGTGCGGGCGGAGGCGTGAGCACGGGGCACCAGGGCCGCTCACTTCCGTGGCTCCCGCCAGAGAGGAACGACTGGGGTAACTGTTGTGGGTCCGTTTCCCACCGCTGGTCTGGGTGAGCTTAACCCAGGCTAACCAGGCCCCCCATCCTGCCCCGCAGAGTCCTTCCCTGAGCCTCACACCCGCTTCCCAGCCCCCACACCGTGCGGGCGGAGGCGTGAGCACGGGGCACCAGGGCCGCTCACTTCCGTGGCTCCCGCCAGAGAGGAACGTCGGGCATGGCCACGGGAGGGGGAGGAAACCCACCCAGAGCCCCGGTTTCAGACAGCGGCCCCGTGGGCACAGCACACTCTGTGCTGGGGAGGGGCAGAGTCCCCCGGGCGCGTGGTAACTCACAGCTCCAGCTCCCTTTGCCATGCGGGTGCCTAGCAGCCGTGTGGGTTGCCTCTGGGGACTGGCTGCGGCTTCATGTTCTTCCTCCACATGCAGGCACATTTTCATGCTTTTGCTATTTTTCCCTCCCCTTTGCTTGTGCTTTCTCCATACCGCGGGGGCGCCCGGTGGGGGGGTCACATGCTCCCCTAGAGTCTAACTGTTGAAGCCAGTGTCCTCATTCGGCCTCTGCTCTCCCACGGGTGCCGATGGCCTTTGCATCACGGGATAGGTTGGAATAGGGGCTCCGGGTGACATTTTCCTTCGGCAGCCTGCCCCCCAGCTCTGTTGGGACATCCCCTGCCCGCACAGCACGGAGCAGGGAGGCTGGGCCCCGCTAAATCTGGTGCAGGCTGGAGGGCTTGTTAAACGAAAACGTTGACGGGGCCGTCAGTCCATGGGCTAACTGCAAGGCCGCCCTGGCTTGTCATGACCTTAACTCTGCTCTGCCTCATCACGACCTTAACTCTGCCCTGGCTTGTCATGACCTTAACTCTGCCCTGCCTCGTCACGACCTTAACTCTGCCCTGCCCCGTCATGACCTTAACTCTGCCCTGCCTCGCCATGACCTTAACTCTGCCCTGCTAAACACCAGCCTTTCATTGCTTCCTTGACTAGCCTTCTGCACCCACCCTTGTGCTAAGCCCTCTCCCACTACAATGGCAAGCCAAGGG